CATAAAGATAGCCTACGATCTGGATTAACAAATGTGTGTATAGCATATTTTTTAAGAAGTTGCCAGCTGCTTAAAAAGTCAAATTCTATTTTAAATTATAAGTTTAATGAAGTTTCAAAATATGGGTGCCTGTTCCTGTGCGTTGATTTAAAAAACATTTATTGCGAAACCATTTTCTATATAATAGTCACCTACTAAAAAATGTATTTTATTTTCTTAATAAGTTAAATGAAATATTTCAATGTGGATGATTTCGTTGATTTAAGGAAGCTTTATTTCAAAAATTTTCTGGAGAGGGGTGCCACTTGTTTAAAACTATTATTATTAACATTAAATACTCAAACAACGCGTCTAGGCTACAAACCACAAATCAATGTGTCATTAAAGAAATTTCTTTCCTCTGAAAGCAACTCCAACTACATATACACACATTTTCAAATTTTTACCGCAAGTGCAATACAATCCGTCTGTTAGCAGAGTAATTGCGAAGTGAGCGACTGTAGCGAAAGGCGAACCATAAAACTCGACCAGGGCAGCCTTACACTTCAGCAAACAGAATTCGGCATAATATAAATATTAATAACCATCAAAATACAAAAGTATGCATGAGTAAGTAGAAAATATGTGCATTTGCATGTTGAAATACATATGTAATACCATTCGTGCTTCGATAACTGAGTTCACTACATTCCTCTGCTTTGGCTTTATGATACCTACTGCCTATCATTGCGACAAACTTTAGTTACCTTACATTGCTGCCCAGCATATCATCTTGAGTTATATATTTAATGATTGACCTGTAACCAAAGCAAATCATACATAAAATGGGCATACTAAGGTCGTGGATCACTGCGGAGGTCTCTTTGGATATACATATGTATGTAATAAAGTTTATACTGCTGGTAGTGAATTAGAAAATTGCGGCCGTCTTGTAGGCATATCAGCTACAAAGCGTAGAAACCAATACTACTACGCTACACTTACCAACATTTAAAGCCAACATTATGCACGCTCCATTACACTTTGTTGTTGTTTATGGGTTTTTTTTTATGATTTGCTCCGGCGGCCAGTCAGTGAATAAAGTGAGTGGCCTGGCTACTTTGCCGACTGATTTCAAGCATTGCTGCAGCCATGAGTGTATGTAGATGCGTACGTGTATACCACCATGTGCTTGTTCGCCTGGAGGTATGCTATGCAGTAGGCTAAGATACGAGTAGTTGACGTAGCCAGCAGTATGTAGAATTTAGGTGGCATATTTTATTGCCTCAATATCTAGCTGCCTCATTGCCTTGCTTTGCAAATTGTTATATTAATATGTGTATGTTGGTATGTATTTATCTGCATATGTATGTTTACCACATAAAATCAGTCAAACTGTTGCTGCTGCTGTTACATTGGTAAATATTTGATTTTCTTGAATTATTAACAAATTTTAATTTCTGCTAAACGTGATTGGCATTGGGGTAGCACGTATACATACATATTCATATACATATGTACGTACATAAATAGTATACATATGCACATAATAAGCAACATTTAAAGAGAGAGTCGGAAGCCTTCGGCTAATTAAGTTGAAAGCCTTTAGGCAAATCAAACGTTGGTAGTAGAGATGCACAGTCAGATACAAAGACACATACATACATACTTATAAAATACCCTGCAGCAAATCGAACTGATTCGGAACTAGCGTGGAAATAGCTTAAAAAGAGATAGCAGTGGTTTTCATATATCTCAAATTTGGTTTTTCATCTATCCCAAATCAATGCTTTCTACTAACTTTTTAACAAGGCGATATCCACGGAATGACAATTGCCCCGTCTGCACAACTTTTGAACTCATTCTGAGCTAGTTCCATTCAGGGCAGATCTGGGACAAAAAGTTTTTATGATAAAGAGATAATCGGATATTTATTTTACAGATATGCCACACGCAACAATATAAATGTATTAAAACGGAAAACTCACAACTACCCCCACCGCGATTTGAACTCCTGACTACCGATGTTATAGCATAGACAGATGGCAACAATAATCTTGTTGAATCCCACGAATCTTTTTTTTGTTTTATTTAGTTTTACATTATTTATATTATTATTATTATTTATTTAATAAAGTTACGCAACAATTTTAATTACATTAAAAAATTAAAGTAATAATTGAATGAATTAAAAAAAGGCTTTGCGACTCGAACACACGAATTCGCGGCTCGTAATCCACTTAACTGTCGGCCGTCAAGTTACAATTTTGATCAGTTCAACTGCGCCGTTAATCCGGATCAACGTTGTGTGTAAGTTTTTTGCATGTTATAAATATAAGAAACTTTGACGCAAGTTTCAACTGTTCCGCCCTGCATCCGCTTTGCAACAGTTCAGAGAGATTTCCAAAATTTTGAGTATGGATCTAGCGCTTTCGTAGCGCTGTCGCTTAATTTTTCTGCGTGGTAACCAATTAAGTAGGTAGATACATTTGTTATTGCCAATATATACAAATGTAAGTGCATAAACTTATGTATGTATGTATCTTTATGACCCATTTCGTTTATGCAAATGAACTCGCTATTCAGGTGGTTCAATTGCTGCTGAAATTCAATTTGCTGCTTCATTTGAGTTCAGTTCCAACTAACCTTTGGATGCGCCTCAAAGAGATCACACACATGCAAGTACATAGTACGTAGGTATGCAAAAGAGCACTTCCTTAAAAGTCCATCGAACGCACTTGAGGTTCAAAAGATAGGTCACTCGTCTTGCCAATGCCCCTACGGTCAGCAGCAGTACAAAAAAAAAAAAAAAAATACAACAACCAAATGCGATTGAGTGCAATGACTGCTGAAGCAATATTGCCATAGATGTATGTATCTACAAACGAACTAGCATACATACAAGCCATTATAGCTTACAAACATACACATTTCTCAAGCACCTCAGTTGCACTAAAACGGGTCGAGTATTTGCCGAAAATGGCAAAAGGCCGACCAGACCAGGCCAGACCAAACCAAACCAAAGTCTGTCTACTAAGCGGTCTACATACAAGCTGATATGCTTAGATATACGTACATACATACATACATACATATGTACTGCTATTTCCCCCTCTTATATGGCCATTGATTCAATAACAAGCGACTAAAGAATTGCGGAACGTTGCAATTAGAGGCACGAGCCAAATGCTAAGACCAACTTGCCGCGACGATAGCAGCACCATTGCAACTTGGCCGTGGATATTAAGTTGCGCGCTGTGGATGATATTTTCTTAGATTCCACCAAATGTTAGATAAATGATATAAATAAGCGATGCCGCTGTACAAAAAGTGGGAGTGTGTGCAAATATGAGAGCAAAGAAAGAGCGGAAAAATTATGCTCAACGCGAGAGTTTTTTAAACAGCGTTGCATTTCGTATTCCAGTGCAGCTGCAGCGCAGCTGATTTTTATGGATTGAATGTTTGGTTGGCGGATGAACATATGTATGTATATAAACAGGTTGTTAATTTTAAATTGTTGTGATAAGAAAGCCGGTAATATGAGTGCTAATTGCACAGCTTGCATTGAAAGTACAAAAAAACAACAGCATAACTAGTAAAATCGAAAGGAAGTAATAAAAAAGCTTTTAGTGCGTTTAAATAAATTTATTTATGTCGGGTTACACCAATCAGTTTTAAATTTACTAGCCTGTGTAAATTTAAAATGATACAATTTTGTTCGGAAAATTTGTCAATTTAAATTTTAACAGTCTGATAAATTTTATAAGAAAAGAATTTGTCTTCTAAGCCACTGCTACTTTTCACTATCAGGCCGATTCTGAACAGAAACTCCCTGACAGATTTCTCTCTTTTCCCTTTCCTCCCATCATAAATAAAAATTTCCTGTCAAACAGCTTTTTTGAAATTAAAATTTCCTCCTCCCAAATTTCCGGCAAAATGCTACTCACAGGGAGTTAATTATTGGAGGATTTCTTTCTCAAGAGAAATAAACTACCGGAGAACAAACTCCCCGGGAGTATTAAGAATTGGCCTATATGACTCAAGGCGAATTTATATAAGGAGGTGTTGTTACATCGGCTGTGGGTAGCGTTTGATTGTAAATAATTTGTATTTCGCTGGTGGGAGGTTCCATGAGAAAGTGAAGCATAGAGCAAAAATTATTATTTTTTTTTGTAAAACTAACAAACGTGTGGATAAGACATTTGTAAATATCTAAAATTAGCCAGAAAATAACAAATTAAAGCTCTAAATGCATTTTTATTAAATTTTTTGAAATTAATTTCTAAGTAAATTTTTTGAGCGAGTTTCAAAAAGGTTCTATTGAAAGTACTGTCAAATAATTTGCGATTGCACATTATATTCGCAAAGCCGCGCTCACAATCCACAAATATTTAAGTATGTATGTATGTTATTATTGATGTAATTTGCTTTTATTTTTCTCCGGTGTTTTGTTACTTTGGAAATCAGCTGCGAGACTCAAACAACCTTAGCAAAAAATAACAAAATACAGTCAAACTGGAATTTCCAGCAATTCGAGCAGTTCTGTTGTTGTGCTCAACCAAATAATCAAAACGACGTTGCTCTCTAGCTTTCTTTTTAATTTTTGTGGGTGGCTTTGTAAGCAGATAAAGATGCGGTGCAGTTACGTTCCACATGAAGTTGTTAACAATTGATAGATAAATTTGCCAGCTCTCGCCAATGCATGGATGGGAGTGGAATTCATGTTGTACCCAAACGGCTATTGCTGCAATGCTAGATTTTCGTATTGGAGTTGTGTCTGAGTTGGGTACTCTTCGAATTGAATTCTCTTGCATGCTTGTGTGTTGGTGTGTGTGAGACTAAAACCCACCCGTTGCAGTTCCGTCGTCTTCCTATGCAACAGCCCCCTTCGCCATGGTTCGTTCACACTTTCCTCCTTCCTCGAGCTATGGGACGGCGATGATGGCGGCGATTCTTGTAGCTTACTTCTCTCTCTCGTGCAGCTACCAACTGGGAAGGCCAATCAGTTTGTCGCAGTTACTGTCCCGGTGCGGTTGTTGTGAATGAACTAAGTGTGGCGTGTTTCTGAGCGAACGAATTAAACGCGGTGCTCCAAATTTAGCGGAAAACAATTTTAAGATTTTATTGCTTCGTAGTAAAGCTGTTAAAGTGTTGAAGAAAGAAAATTTAAGCATGAAATTTTGGGGGTAATAAAAATACAAACATGTCTACATATTTTGATTCGCGAAACATAGAGCAGCAGCCGAAGGTATTTCTTTTTTCTTAATGCAGCACAACGCGTTTGGTATTGCAACATTTTTATTTATTTTTTAATTCCTTGTGGATGTGTGAGGCGGCGGTGGTGGCGGTGGTATCTATAGATAACCAACGCGGCGCGATCTAACTTTTGTGCGACGGAGTTATTTTTGTGTGTGTGGGCGCATCTCTTCTTCTTCTTCTACTTTGGGTAGCAGTAAATATGAAAATTTATTTAGATACAAATATTTTTGACGATTCTGTGCAAAGGTTGAGAAGAAAATATGGAAAACATGAGCATTGCAGATACGGATGGCAGCGATCAATCATTTGATTAAATTAATCAATTTTTTGTTGTCAAATTTACGATTTAATTGTATCGTAGTTTTGTGTTTCATAATCGATTAATTGTAAAATAATCGTAAAAATATTTTCAGGAAATTGAATGCAGTACTTCTCTAAAATCCATCCATCGAACATTCTTTTTTTGCTAGCTGCATCAACTTTACTCAACTCGAGGTTTACAAAAATTCATTTCAAAGACCCGTTAGCATTGGCCTCAGTAATGAAATTCTTGCGAAATGAAATAATGTGCGCAGATGATCTTATAGAAACCAACTTTGGGCCTCTCATAAAACCCTTGTACACAAACGAAAGCGAAAAGATGATGATTTGGGTCACCCACACGATGAAATAAGTTTTTATTTAAATTGTCAAGTCCTAGAACTAAAGCGGAATATCATCCAGGCTTTGGAGGATTTTCGAAAAAACACTGTCATTTAGTTGGTACCTCGCCTCCTGCTGAGCGCATTTTTTCAAAAGCTGGTACTACAGCTGGTACTACAGCATTATATTTTTGGAAAAGTGTTTTGGGAATACTCAGTGTAAAAAAGTGCCTTTAAAAATTCGATTAAACGATTATTTCTAAATAACTGCAATTATTAGTTTTTGGCTTGTCATATGATTAATTAATCGAAAATTTTATATTTTTTTTGCCATCCCTAATTGCAGACCACAGGTAAGAGAAAGGTAGCGGGGTGGGGTGTTACAGCAAATATGAATATAAACAAGAAACATTGTTTATTTACTAAAGAGAAACAACCAGAAGACAAACTTGTGCAGCAAAATAAGCGTTGTGTATATGCACATAAAAGTGTATGTTTGTAGTAAATGTATGTATGCATGTATGTATGTTATCTGGTAACTTGGTAAGACTTTCAACTTCGAACGCCGTTTATTATTTTTCTGGTTAAAATTACCTTCAATTCAGCTGACGTGAAGTTCTTTTATTTATAAACATTTATTAATTCGACGACATCAAGATTTATTGAACTTTGATTAAAATGCATACACTTTGCGCGCGCGAAAATTCCAGCAAATAAGTGACAGAAAGGAATCGGCTGACATTTTAACGCTCTGTTACCACATTAAATATCAGTCTTGCCACCTCGTTAAGTTGGTGATATACCTATTCAGGAATTAAGACCGGAACGAGTATAGACTGAATACCCTTAATGAGTTTTTCTTTGTGCGTGTGATGCAGAAATAATTTGTATTAAATTGCGTTGTTTTGTTTTTATTATTATTTTTTAATTCTTGGCTTGTTGCGTCCTTTGTATAATTACTGAATTGGTTAATTAAGTGAAAAATTTCTAAATTTAATCGTAATTATTGGAATTAAAATGCAAATAATAATACAAATAAACATAGCTCAATCTCTATTGCCAGCAGCTCATGTTTGTTTCATAGTAAAATTAAGAAAACAGGTCTTGTTGAAAGTAAACGTTCCGCAGAATTACTAAAAATAAATTAATAAATAGATTTGAATGAAAATTACAAAAAAATATAAATGTTTGTGATACAATGAAAAAAGAAAAACTTTGTGAAATATGCAAATTTTTTATTCATAATCCAGTGAGTGTCAGCCAAAATCGTACAGCAATTTTTTTTTAATTTGTAGAATTTTTTGTAGAGGGTGTTGCGCTTTTTCTTCCATATAGAAATAGAATTTGTTCATTTTTTCTTCCATATACATAGATATCTTACATAAGTGCGTAACACCGTCACAAAAAAAAAAAATAATAAAAAATCAACGGTATTTTGTAGTGACTTTAGACTTGCACTTCATTGAATTAAAATTAAATGTGCTATAAAACTGCATACCCGTAAAGTTCTCATTAAAATTTTGAAATTTTGATGAACATGACACGATTTTTGTTTTAATTGTTAAAAAGTTGGAAACCTTGAGTTTTTTGGATTTTGTGGTAGTATGAACCATGATAAAAACATAGCAAGGTATAACCGTTCTCTCAATTTGTCGGCCATGATTTTTTTCTGAAGTTTGCCAACATTTAAAATCATATAAATGTGAAAATAAAAAAATGAAATTGTTCGAAATTGTTGTTGCTTGAGATTGAAAATGAAAATGTGTGTGTGAGTTTGTGAGTAAATTTAAAAATTAAATTGTTTGGAAACGTCAAGAATTTTAAAAGTGACTCTCAGCGGTTCTACCTTATTATATTTTTATCATGGTATGAACCATATTTTTATTCAAAATTAATAAAACTTAAATAAAACCAAATATTTTCAACAAACGAAAACAAACAGATACTCACTGTAGATGTTACTAACAGATCACTAATAACATCGGCTTACTTAAACTTGAGAGAGACTGAAGTAGTTAGCGGAACTTTTTGACAAACGCGGTAAGTTAGGGTTGCCATTTGGCGAGCGGAGTAAACATTCCGCCCGCCAGGCTGTAATAGTTTGGCGTAGAGATCCGCGCCTAGTATCATATCGATGGGTGCTGCTTTAAGGAAGGAGGGATCTCGGCGAGCCGCAAGTTATTAAAGGCTTGCACGGTCTGTTGTGATAACGAACGCATTGGGGTCGGCGTTGGGCTGATGGTCTCAATGTTAGCGCAGAAGGTGAGCTCTTTATGACCACCAAGATTGTTACGTAGCGTAAGATAGCACACTCTACTGGCTTCACGCACTGGAGTACAGAGTCGCAGCCTTGCAACGGTGGCGGCGGAAATTGTGGTCCCCGGACTCGCGGGGTTAAGGACAGCCCACACTGTGGTGAACCTATCCTCAGTACGAATACCGCCAACACTTGCTGCCAGAGGAGTGCTGCTGATCGTCCCTCTATTATATTTCGCACATTTCGTTGACGACGGGCACCTTGTCCACGCCTTCTTTTCTGCTAACCAACAGGGAGAAGGAATAGATACAGCGCAATATTTTTTTTTTGTGAATAAGGTTCAAGTTATGTTGATTAAAAAGTTAAAGTTATGAAAATTAACGCTTTACTTTAAGGGTTGAAATGAGGGGCGAAGTTGAACATTTCGATTTTCTTTTTACTGTATCTCAGAAGCAAATCACGATATCGATAAATTTTTAATAAAATACCGACACACACACACATATATATTTTTGGGCCACCCTAATGTGTAGTGACAGTCCTATAATTTTGTTATATGTACACCTAGAAAAAACTCATTTCTACTTCAAATAACGGTTAACTGCCTCAAAAAGTTAAATAAATAGTAATTTTGTAACAGATTTATGAAAACCAAGGCGCACCCTAAAGGCTTGTTTGCTGTGAAATTATTTCATAAATCACAAAATCGCATCTGCGAAGAGACGTGCCGCCAAAGTAAAATCCACTGAACAAAACTTTACTTTTCACTGGAAATTTTGTACATACTTTAGCTGAATAGGTAAATAAAATAATTTGAGTAAATATTTGCACTTTGAAGGCAGTCTAATAGATTAAAATTTCTGTGGATAACAACAACGAAAATAAGACATACAAAAACAAGCTAAGCTCATAAAATTCTGCTAATTAAGCTACTGTGGTGTAAGCTTTGAAATTATAGCGAGTGAGGGTTAGATTTGCTTGAAAAGCGAGCTGATAAAGTTGGAAAATGGATTTACGAATTTATGAGGATAAAGTTGGCGCAAATAACAGGTGGAGTAAGTAAAGCAAGAGGGTGAAATAATTGATGTTATCGTGAATCACAAACGAGAAATAACATTACACTCCAATGCGAGTACTTAGAGGTTTGGTATGGGCTTTGGAAAATATATACATATACATATACACTTTCCTTATGAAACCATGATCAAGCGTATACCAATTTTACAACAGCTAAAAGTAAACTTATTTGGTAGCGGTTAAAAGTATTACAACAACTTTAAGAAAATTTAGCATACAAAAAACGCTATAGGCAGAAACATGAAAAGTTCTAAATTGTCTGAGTAACAAAATTTGTGGCATTATTGACTAGGGGATTGGAAGAGTGATTGGCGGAAGGAAATTTGTTGACAACTTTCGCTGCTTTAAATGCAAGCTGTTACAGGCATTAGCGTGGATACAGCTACCCACCAACAAAAAGCTTCACCACTGAATAAAGTAAGCGGGTTAATAATAGGAATATGTATGCTTGTTCTTGTTGCAACTGACAAACCCGTATTCCAGATCTGTGATTTGGTAAGATATGAATTTTGTAAGGAAACGGCCGTGTTAAAACTCAGCGGTTAGCACCCACCATTGCTATTATCAACTCATTTCCTGGTTATTACCCCTTTCAATGGGGTGTTTTCAAAACTAAACCACAAAAATATTAAGTGGAAAAGTAAATTTAATCAGCTAAGCAATAAATACAGGCATATGTCGGAAGCGCATACACTTGCCTATTCACACACACACACACATGGAAATAAAGGAATTAACAGCCCTGCAGGGAAAGCTACTAGTGTGAACTAGTATGCTAAGAAAAGCAAAAAATTGCGTTTTATTTTTGCCTTTGGCAATTCAAATGCAGATGTTGGTGAACGCTTAAGGTCTTAGTAATCGTCGAACTGGTAGGCCATCGCTTTAGCACATACTAGTTAATAAACTGGTATTTTTACTGACTGGTTTGGCTTTTCACTGCAGGGAAATAAGCAACGTTTTTTTTTTGAGACGCGACGGAAAAGTGGGTTCATATTCTTATAAAGACTTTTGTGT